AGGCTGGAGACACTGCTGAGAGGAGATTGGCCAACAATCAGAGAAAGCAGGCCATGTGGTAGGTTAGCCAAGGACCTACCAGCTTTGGAGACAGACACTCCTGTAAGGATCCAGACGTTAGGGAGACACCAGAAGGAGTGGACTAAAAATGTCATGAGGGATGCATTGGCAGCCAGGTCACACATGGTGACTATGCAAGAAGGACAAGTGATCCAAAAGAACAGGAGGCACTTATGAGCCAGCAGACACAATACCTAGAGGAGCCCACAGAGATACAGAGATCATCATAGAATGGAGAAACGGTACCATCTGGAGGCCAACACCACAGGGAAGAAGGAGACTCCACAGAAAGATAGTTTGGTAGAGTTTGAGACAGGTGATAGAGACAGAGATAGGTCACTCCTGGTGTGGTTATCTGTTGAGGAGACCAAACTATCTCAGACTATGTAACCAGCTGAGTCTGTGGCAAGGACAAGACTCCAACTTAACTAAGTGCTTGCCATCACTAGCCGAAACAGAACAGATACGGAGTGGGGTTCTGGATGTCAATTATTTGCTTTTAAATTTTATATTAAAATGTTTGTAGAACAGGGAAGATGTATCATGATCAATGGAACTAGAGTCAGAGGGTCCATGTTCCTGAAGGGACTGTTATTGATGGGTCACCAGTGGAAACAGAGATCACCAGGACTTAGGCTGGAAGCAGTGCAGTCATATGGACAGAGCACTGCTCAGGGTTTAATTATGTTCCACTTGTTCAACTTAACCTGCTTTCTGCTTCATTTTTTTCAAATGAAACACAGGGGAGCAGAATAGGCTCTCCATTGACTCTGCCAGGGCCTACGCAGGGAAGAGCCCATCATTGGCCCTCTCCCAATGTACAGCTAAGAGTCCAGTTATCAGGAGGAAGGAGGCACTGGCAGAGCCCAAAACCCACCTGTGGGGCAGAGAGAAACGAGCTCTGTGGGTAAATTGGAAGGGGAATGGGATGAACTTAGCTGAGGGATGCCAGCAGAGTCAATAGGCTTGTGTGGCGGGTGCTGGATGGTGGGCTCAGCTGGCAGGATCTTGTTGCCTGGGATGGACTGAGCTGAGGTGCAGAGGATAGACTAATGGGGCAAGGGATGGTCTGGAGGCCAATAATTGATTAGAGAGTCTGAGGGGAGAATGGCAGTGGTTTTGGGGAGCCAGATTTGATTGAGGGATCTGGGGCGAGAAGTGAATTGAATGATTAGGGACGGCAGATGCATTGATAAGGTGGGGGGGCCAACGTGTGGATTGGGGGTTGCTGGTTGGCAGAGGGTGGACTGTCTTTGGGAAAGATAGACTGATGGGCCTGAGGCAAAGCGCAAAATACATTATGGGCAGAAGGGAGGGCAGAAGATGGGTGGGCAGCAGATCATGGACAGTATCACCATCATGATTTTTTCGTGAGTCTTGTGATATTTGATGTTCTTCTTAAACTCGCATCTGTAGGAATCAAGAGGCTGCAGGAGAATCGCAGCTTTCATTTAAAAAGTAAGTTTCTAGCTTTAGTGGGTTGTGAGCAGGAAGATAGAACATGGATGACAGACGGAGTTTGGGGTGAACGGAAGAGGGGAGCCAGGGACTAGAGGAAATCTAAGCTGAAAGGCATGAGGAGAGAGATCTGGGAGGAGATGAGGTTGAGAATGAGCGACATTGAAAGGTAAAAGCAGGGGAAAGGAAAACTGGTAAAGGAAAAGTTTAGAAACATTGGGTGTGGGGGAGCCTGTTCTTAGGAAAAACAGAAAAGAGAAGCGAGACCTAGAAGGAAAGAAAGTCAAATAGAGAGAGGACAAAAACTAAGGGAGACACAATCAGTGTGAAATGCTTACATTGTTAAACAGCAGGTTGGGTGACAAATTATTATATAAAATCACATATTTGTGTGTCTGGTGCCTTTCTGTATGGGGCTTTGACAGGCCTGACGGTGGTAGGGAGGTGGGTTTGAGAGTCTAACGTTCCTGCAATAAGTGTATAGACAACGTGGCCTCACTTGAAATCAACCAGTGCTGACATTGAACAACAAAGTGTTAATGTCTGTGTGTATGTGCGTGATGAGAATGACATGAAGGATTTTTGACCCCAGGGTTTTGCTGCACATATCTTTGTGTTTTACTAGCCTAGAATTGGCTACTGCAAGTTATTTTAGAATTTTCAGTAAATGCTGTAGGGGCCTCTGGTTTTGTCTTTTTTTGTTTGCTTATTTGGGACTAAATCTTTGTCTAAAATTTTATAAGGTGTTGGAGACTGCATCTGTTATGTCACAAGTTGTGGAGAGAGGACTTGGACCCTCCCATTGTATTTGTATTTTTTCATTACTGCTGCCCTCAGCCTCCAGCTTTTGTCTGGGTAGCTAAAGACCCGGCAAAGAGATTCCTGTTTACTGTTCATGTAGCCGTTTATAAAAATGCTTTGGGACGCAAGGTGCTATAGAAATCTAAGAGATCGCTTAGAGGAGAATGTCGTTTTATATTTATATAGGGCCTTGCATACTGCCAGTCTCTCAAAGCACTTCACACATCAATGTCAGTTAGAAACTGGCAGTCAGTGACTGTGTAGGCAGGACCCATAGCAGCCAATATGCTCTCAATAATTGCTCACACACAGCCATGGATATCACAAAAGATTTAAAAACCAACCTGAGCTTTATCTAGTCCCAGATCTGAATCCAAATCTTTTTTCTGTCTGAGATCAGTTCAGTATGTTACAGGACTCTCATCCCCTCTGCCTCCTCCCACTGCTTTTCCTTTCCTGATTCCCAGTGTGGCCCGTAGCGCCTTTCCCACACCGTTCCAACCATCATCTGGTTCTATCCCTCTTTGTAACCTGTTCCTGCAGGTGCCGGGTCCCTATGGCACCTCCTTTGGTTGTGTAAAATTCTGTCCAGACCTTGAAATCAGTGGAGTTTGGACAGTGTACATCAGGGCAGAATCTAGCATCTACAAGATGCTACTGCAGGGCCCTGTAATTGTGGCAGATTCTGAATTGGGCCCAGCTGCCCTTATGTTCAAATTTTGTGTGCTTCGGAGAGCAGCAGCTAACTGGTGCATGCTCTATTGCACAACACTGATGGGTGAAGGAAGAGGCCATTTTTGGCTAAGAACACTGAGATAAACCCTGACTCTTGCAAAAACTGTCACGGGACTGGTAATGTCTATTTAGAACAGACAGGACCTGAGGTTTGAAGGCCTTTTTTGAAAGACTCCTGCACAGTAAAATATAGAGAACTCATTTATTTCTGAAGGATACAGGGCTGAGTCTACCCAGTTGAGAGGTGAATCTGTTTTTCCAAAGGGCCTGGGTATTTCAAACCCAAGCCTTAGACTGTTTCTGTGGCCATTAGTCAGATAGGTGCCACTAGTGTAATTATATTCCTGTAGCTATAAAGCAAACCCCAGCTTTAGATCAGATCCTTAAATTTTACTTTTTCTGCTGGGAGATTTTGTGCTGATGCCCCATGCCTCGAGCTTTTGGAGGACTCCCCCCCTCCTCAAGGGGACGTGCATAGACATGGCTCACAGCAAGCACTTTCAACACTGATCTAAACTAGTGTGATTCTGAGGGGCAGCATTGTCAGAACTAACACAAAATGCTCTAGTGTTAGTGCAGGAGTGGTGCTCAGCCTGGGAATGACTGTTATCGTTCTATAGGGCACTCTAAACGGCGGGCTGATAGTGAGCCAAGGCAGTGATTTGCAGCTTATGGGCTGGGAAAACCAACCACATTGTGGTCTGCAGTTCCTAGGACCCTTTCTATGACCCGGGGTAGGGAACGGAGAGGTTGTGACCACAGGAAGTAGGAGTTTAGTTCTGCACCTTCTCTGCAGTGAATATGTTAAATGTGAAACCTTCATCAGCTCAAGCCATAAGGAATGATGAGTGTTGGTCTTGCTACAACCTGGCTTTCTTTTATTATAGACCAGCAGCTGTGAAATGTTGCCCTAAGCTAACCCCTTCTTATTGAGAGGTTGGTGATAGTTTCATTAAATGCATTTCTAAGTCCCTTAAATCTTTTCTTATTCTATCGGTTATTTATTACTGTTACACATAACAGAATGCAGATAACATATCTGACGACTTACAAGGCAGATCTACAGAATATGATCAAAGCAAATAGAGTCCAGCCTTAAAAAGCAGGTTGATACCAAGGCAGTAAAGTGGTGGCACTGGACTCTCAAGCTTGCAGTGCCCACAAACCCAACACAGTCAACTTGCTGTACCCACAAATCCAGCATTCACTTCCCTCCCCTTTGCCCCCAGCCCTTGTTACTTGGTTGTGTGTGTGAACAGAGCAGAACAGTGAATTCGCCGTGATCTCTGAAGCATTCAGATACTCCAGTGACTGATAAGCATTATAAAAACACCTTTTAAAAAAGCAAACACAGATGTAGCACTTCAGAAATCTAAGCAATTTCATCTGGCTGCTTCACTCAGACACAGGCTAGAGCAGAGTCTAGAAAAATGGGCCAATATGTTATACTGATGCGTACCCATAACAGTCAAATTGGACTAGCTGTTGCTGGCTCACTGAAAGTCAGCACTTTGTTCCAGAGGTTGCTATCTGGTACTCCAGAATTTTTGAAATGTACATCTGTAAGCCCTGTGGTTGCCAAGATACCCATCAAAATGCAAACAGGATGGGGAGCATGCCTGAGAAAGACTGACATAATAATTCAAAGAATTGTGAACTACTGAATAGGGTGTTGGCGCTGAAACCTAACAATGATGATTTAAATTGCAAAGTATATAAGAAAAGAGAGAGACGACTCTGTTATGATGAATTCAGCCTACTCTGAGTAGCTTCTCGTTTTGGTGTTTCAAGTAGACAGAGCTTGGTTGTGGGCAGAACTTGGTACAGGACCACTCCTTTTTTCTGCCCAGTGTGGCCCCCTACGTCTCGTTGATACAAACAGAGTGTAGGGGCATGTGCATTGTGGGCTGTACGTGGAGTCAGAGAAACTGTCCTTGTACCATCAGGCTGCCTCGGTGGATGATGCTGTGCTGAGGAAAAAGGAGCAGAAAGATGTTGAACTGGATAAGAAAATCCTGGCTTTGCGGAAAAAGAATGAAGCTCTCATACGAAGGTACCAGGTAAGTCTGCCCCACTGCCTGCCTGGGTTTTATCTTCTTCAGCCCCATGTCAGAGCCATCTCCACTAACACTAACCAATGTGTCTGCTGAATGTTGCTCATTTTAATAAATCCTGGCAGGGATGTGGAACCTAGCTAGATAAGATCCATCACATAGAAAAGTGTTCAGGTTCTGCCCTTGGGTGTGGCTGCTTAATGGCAATTGACTTCAGAAGGAATTATGCATGACCATCCAAGGGCATGAGTTTAGGAAGACAACATTTAGAAATATGTATGAGCTCATTGGATCAGATCCTCAGTTGCCATGAATGAACCTAGCTCCATTGACTGCAGAAGAGCTTTGCCAATGTACAGCAGTTTAAGCTCCGTCTGTTTATTGGAGTTGGGTTTACATTACCAGGCAGACCTTTTCTTCCTCAATCCCCCATCTCTCTCTCTCTTGCCCTTCACCCTCACATCTTTCTTGCCATCTCCTTTTATTTCTTTCCTATCCTTCTCTGCCCCTTTCTGGCTTTACCCTTTCTTATACCATGTCCACCTACATATAACTTGCTTTCTCCATTCACCCCCACTTGGGGTTTCTCTCTGGCTTTCTATTCCCCCTCCTTCTCCCATCTATCTTGGCTTCTCCATTTTTGCCCCCTATCTTTCCTATTGCCCCAATCTCATTTTCTTGTGTATCTAGGAGGTTCTAGACTCTTTTGAACCCTCCACCACCCTCCAAAACAAATCTTTTGCAATCTCCCCTGCCCTTGATCACAGGGGATCCCTTATCCTTTCCATTGCTGCTGGATGGGCCATCAGGCTAACTCCATATTTTGTTGTCTCTCTCCTTGCATTCTTGCTCTCCATTACCATGCCCTGCATTAAATGATCCAAGTATTCATGCAGAGCACTGACACATTAAGTGGAAGTGCCAGGAGGCAAGGTAGGAAAGAGGTGTTGGCTTTGTCAAAGAGCACAACTGGGATGGGGCAGTCTCTGTGTGCTGGTTCCTGTACTGGGATAGATCTTTAAAAATCAGCTCCGTTTGTGGTGCAGTCAGCATCTGCTAAGATTACTGCGGACTGGCTGGGGCCATATGCCAGGCCATATACTAAACATAGGCTTCACTAGCCCGTTGGTTATTTCAGCCCTGGTCACCTAGGGTAGGAGAAAGAACTTCCAGCCACGTCTTATTTTTCTTCTTGGATAAATATCTTGTGTGCTGAGAAAGTCTGAAAAAGGAGTATTGCTCACATGGCAGGAGCCTCCTCTTCTTGGCTAAAGATGTTCTCCCAGCACTAGAGATGGTCAGCAACCAAGGTCCAAATACCTTAGAGCTTGGGAGTATTTCAAATTTAACCTGGACCCAAATTTGGCAAGTAGCCTCTGGTTCAGCAATTGGCTGAACCAAAACCCAAGATTAAATGTTGGGATGTTTGAAATTTGGATCCAGATTTGAATGATTAAGACTGATTAAATGCCATGCCTTTCCTCAGCAGACATCCACACTTTACCTCCTTTCCATATAAAGCCTGCACGGATTCCCCCTTCCTGCAGACTGCAAGGAAAATGGGCATAACAAAAGGTTATAGGAGGGCTTAAATGTCACACGTGGTCGGGGAAAGGAATTGACAGCCCTTTGTCAATCAACTCCCTAACCTCCATCAGTTGGCTTGTGGAATAGGAACCCAGGCCTCAGGTTTCCTCTCTAGGCTCACAGAAAATGCCCCCTCCTATTCGCCATGTGATTCAAGAAACATTCCCACCCTTGGGACCTGGTTCATAGACACAATGCCATTAGTAAAAGTAGTTCCTCCCCTGCACAGCAGGAGTTCACAAACTGGGCATAGTCCTTTCTGCCCCCTTGGCCTTGGAGATAGTGCAACCCATTAAACATAAACAGTTCCCTCTCTCTTCCCCTGGAGCCAGGTCTCAGAGCCTCCTCCAGGCTCCATAAGCAATCCGCTCTCTGCTCGGCTCGTAGCCTCATTCTCTAGTGCAGGGTGCTCTGCAGCTCAGCCCCCTCTCAGTTTTCTAATCCATAAGCCTCTCTGCCTGGCTGCTATGGAGAGCCCTATACTTCCACAGGCCCAGGTCTCTCTCCCAGGCTATCCACCTGGTCCTTGTGGTAAGCCCCCTCCCAGGTCATTGCCCAACTCTGGAACTTTCCTCTCTGCTGTTCCTGCCTGCAGGTACCTCTACACTAGAGCTGGGAGCATGCTTCCCAGCTTGGGTGAACGGACACACACTAGCTGTGCTCAAGCTAGTGCACTAAAAATAACCGTGTAGTCAGGGGTAGCACAGGTGGCAGATTGGGCTAGCTGCCTGAGTACAAAACTGCCTGGACCCTCTCTGTATATACCCTGGCAGGCAGCTAGCCTAAACCGCCCTGCTACACTGCTATTTTTAGTGAGCTAGCTCATCTGTCTACCTGAGCTGGGAAGCATGCTCCCAGCTGCAGTGTAGATGTATCGGGAGCAGGGGTGCTGGAACAATTTTTATAGTGGGGGTGCTGAGAGCCATTGAACCAAACTGTAAACCAGGGGTCTCAAACTCAATTTACCTGAGGGCCATTGCCAGTCCTCAAATCCTCCCAGCGGGCCAATAATGTCACTGAAGAGGGTGTTCAGAAAAGAAAAGGTTTATACTGTAGTTTTTATTTTGAATTTCTTAGACATAATAAAACTGTCCTACAACTTTATACAATTCTTCGCCTGCCAGAGAGATTTTAGTGTTCGCCAGACACCTGGCAACACTTCAGTCCTGTCAGTTTGTTGGTGTGTGGCCTCAGTGACTGAGCAGTTGAAACCTTCAGGATTGCAGCAAGGTGCGCATCAGATAGTTGTGTTCAGTATTTTGACTTGTATATATTCATTGTGGAAAAAAGTGACACTGCCTCCATGACTGACTCTACCCGTCAACTAGTGATGGTATCTCTGTCCCTCTCCCGCAGCCAGTGGGAGCTGCGGGGGGCGGTGCCTGCAGCAGACATTGCCGGCAGCGTGTCTGCATCCGTCTCTCCTCCACCGGCCACAGGTGGCCTGCGGGAAGTTCTTGGGTCGCAGATGGCCTGCGGGCAGGGACTTTGAGACCCCTGCTGTAAACCATGTATATAATGGAAAACACTTCAAGCCAGGGGATGCGGTAGCATCCCCTGAACTCTTAGTTTCAGCACCTATGATGTGGAGAGGCAGGAAGCCTTGTATCCTATAGATCACATGCTTGTTACTTGTCATATACCCTGGGACTACAGTTCCCAGGTCTAAAGGCCTGGGGCTGATAACAGATGACCAGGGAGCACGTGCACTCAAGGAACAGCACTCTGGTACAGCTTTCTTGGAGAACAAGCTGTGCTGAGAGTGCATTGACAAGAGACACACAGCAAGTTGACTTTCTTTCAAAATGTAGTGTTAGCCCCTGTATTCCCCAGGAGGAATGCAAAATAGGAAAATGGGCCATGACTGTACCTAGCCTGAGGTCCCAGTGAGCACAGAAATCACCTGGCCTTTGCTTCTGTGGTTCATTATGATGGCTCTGGCCCCCTGCTGTTGTACATGCAAAGCTCATGGCCCTTTCCTCTCCCTGCCTGAGTGGGTTTGATTTGTCACAGGCCTTTGGAAGATCTGATGTTGGATGTGGACTTGACTGTTTCAGGAAATAGAAGAGGACAGAAAGCGAGCAGAGCAGGAGGGGATGGCTGTCACTTCCAGGAGACCCAAGCAGGATGGTCTGACTATTACTATCACCAAGGCCCATAATGTAAGTCTTGCTTCCCTTTTAGTACAAGTGAACTTCTCACTAAAGAATCCCTTCCTTATGAACTCAGAGCTACTATCTCTGGAGTAGGCAGCATGTACAACAGGCATTCAGAGTATCAGGAATCAGAACCTAACCACTCCCCAAAAGGCTTAAGTGTTCCGAATAGATTCATGCACAGATCTACATTAGCCTGCATACATAAACCTGTTCCCACAGATGCAAGCATGTACACAAATACAAGCAAGCAGATATGTGTACCTGTACATATGCACATTCACATGTATATGAACTCCCAGACATTAATGCAAACATAGTCACGGACATATATCCAAAATAAACATGCTTTATCTCTGCTGTAGGGTGAAAATCAGGAGTTCCAAATGTGCGTCAAGGTGTGGATTTACCTGCAGAACACACAAGAAGAAAATATCATAGGTCAGGGCATTCTTCCTCCTTCCCTTAAACAAGGGTCAGCCTTAAGAACAAGCAAATAAAGTGGCCCTTAAGGATTCCCATGCATGGTTTCTGATAGGGTTTCCCATGCAAACTCTGCAACTCATGGGCTGTCTCAGTCTTTTTTTATATCTCTGGGTCTAGAGGGGGATTAAACAAATCACCAAAAGACAGTCCTCCCATTCACTAGCAGCAGGATTAGAGAGGAGGCAATTCATGGCCTGAGTCACCCCTCCCAGCACTTTAGGCCCAACACATCACAAGCATGCAGCCCTGTGTTAAAGTGAACGCAATGACAGCAGAGCTCATGGAGTAAGTAGCCCAAACATACCCTTGTCTCTTTTCTCTGATGTTGGATTGTTCACACAGTTACTTTATTAGGTTCGTTTGTGGACTGCCTTCCCCTCTTCCCAGCAACCCACTGGCCCTTGCTTTACTGTAGGCTTGCACTGTTGCACCATTTTTTCCCTTTCATACAGGAGATGAAAGATGTTATTAACCAGAAAGTGAACATTTTGTGGACTAGACTGTCCAACCCTTATAATGGTGAGCACTTACTCACACCAGCAGTCTGCTGGTGTCAACAATATGTGATCAGCACCAGGAGTTAGGGTTGCACAATCTAGCCGTAAGCGTTAACAAGAAAGTGACAACATCTGTTTCCTAAATCTTTGACATTTTAGTCTCAAATGTCAGATTTGTAAGTGCAACGGGTTTTCCAGACCCACTTAGATTTGTGGGTTTCACTTCTAATCAAAGTGCCTGTTGTTTCAGTCTTTGGAAGAATGTTATGGTATTGTCATGGGAGCAAAAAGCATCTCATGGAGCAAGTCCTAACATTTCCACAGCTGCCCTCTCCCAGCTGTTGAGGCAGAGCTGTTCCTAAAATGGAAACACACTGGTAACCCCAAAAGGACCTGTTTTCTAACCAGACCAATTGGCTTTTCAGGAGAAAAGGGTGGTGAGTGAGAAATGGGGAAGCACCTGCCCCACCAGCCCAGGGTTTGGAGTTGGCAGTGAGGAGGAAGATGAGGAGGAAGCAGATCATATGTTTACATTCAGGATGGGGAAGAGGATGCAGCTAGCTGTTACTATGGACAACAAAGCCAAGGTGAGTCTTTAAAATGATGCATCACTCGAGACTTAACACATTGCTTTCTTCGAGCTGTAAGGGGTCCCAGTTCTCATTCTCTAAGCTTGGAGACTTGTTCAATGTTTTCCTGTTCCTTACTGCGCTGATGCTTGCAATTACTTCCTTGATGTTTGTATTGCTGTCAAGTCCAGGATTAATACAAAAAGGACTCCCTATTTAAATACACTCCTGTGATCTGTGCGTACACGGTGATACTCTGGATTCCTCCTGCCAAAGGCATCCCATTTCCAAGCCTAGTAAAGCTGACAGTAATTTCTGTACCTTTCCCCATTTTACACTTGTGGCTTACTCTCAGAGATGAGATACCTTCAGTAGTCACTTAAAGAAAAGGAGTACTTGTGGCACTTTAGAGACTAAAGTCTTATGCTCAAATAAATTTGTTAGTCTCTAAGGTGCCGCAAGTATTCCTTTTTCTTTTGCGAATACAGACTAACACGGCTGCTACTCTGAAATCTGTCATCAGTAGTCAGTTACAGCTACGAGTTAAACTGGACTTGAAAAACATTCAGATACTAACTTGAAGCACAGGTTGGTGCCTTAAAAAGGGAAGCTTTTAAAGTGTGTCAGACTTAGACTTTTGCTTCTAGGTCACTGGCTTGAACTAGAAATGGACCTGAACCTCACACTTTAGGGAAGTTCCAATTTGAATGTGGATCTGAAATTCACAGCTTGGGCTCATTTCTAGTTAGAATCCAACCCAGGTGGGTGGAACCAGAAATTTTTGCATCTGATGACTGGGTTTTGGGCTATATATATTTTGTTTATAAAATGCACTCATTGCATCCTCTAGACATACATTCAAACCATAACAACAACAGCTGGCAATCTCAATCCAGTTCCCAAAGGACAGATGTCCACATCACTAATCACCATCACAGCTGGCACCCTTGCTAGCAATCTCTGCAGATTGACCGGGCATGGAGACTGATCATTTGTTTCAATTTTAGGTATGGTCCCTCCAAATCATGGTTGAGACACATGAGGAGGGTTGTTACACCTTCACAGCCCTTTCTGTGCCTATGGCTGTCAATTCAACACTTTATCTCAGCACTAAAATATAACTAAAAGCAAGAGAAACAATTTACATTAAATTTGAATCACATTCACCATTAATGTGTTTTTCACAGTCTTCCTACCTTTGCTAATTATTGAAGATATTTGTGTTTTTAAAAGAATTGGCCCCTTCCCAATCCACCTTCTCTTGTTATTTGATCCTGCAGTGAATGCTTATTCTATGTTTCAGGTTGCCACCAACCCAGGCACTATGGGTTTTCCTTTCCATGTCTGATTAACAGGCAGAAGTCACCAATCCTGAACTTTCTGTGCCCTCAGGAGGTCCTCCAGCTGCCTCCAGCTGCATAGAGTCAGTCCCTTTCCTCTGCCTCTGAACCGATCGGTCACAGCAGTGCCCCTTCTGCTGAGAAGAGTCAAAACCAGAGTTGCTAAATTCAATACATTTGCTATGGAAATGAAAAAGAAACACTGTAAGTAAAATGAGGACACCAGTCCACCAGCTGTGATGAAACTATACTGTGCTCTCCAGGCAGATAGTTATAGCCAATAGATGAAAGTGGTAACACTTCTCATTCACTGTTCCCTCTAATTTTTAACAGGCCGTGTGTGCAAAAAATTTCTTCTGTGCCGCTGCTGAAGCAAAAAAAAAAAAAGCCAGCGTGCCAAAGCCGGAGTGCGTGCGGTGTTTCGCCGTGTGCGCAGAGTTTAAGATCTGTGTGCACGTGCACAGCTTAGAGGGAACAGTGTACCAGACCCTTATTCAGTTCCACAAAGTTCTAAACATAAAGAGAAAAGTAGATGCCTGGATGTCCATTGCATACCAAGCACTTGAAAGTGTGACGGTCACCCAATGTCAAAGTTGACAAAGTGGGACCCTCATCTTTTCCACAACTTTCTCCATATTACAGCATTGCTATTGTGACATTAGAGTTAAGGTTGAGATGGGGTGTCTCTGCAAACCCCCGATCATCAATCACGCATAACCATGGCAAACTCAGATCATTAATCATTTGGGTGTACTACTGACCACAAAGGCAGTAAATGGCTTTTCTTCAGACAAAAATGAACTAAACCTCAGTGAAGGGCTATAGATATACAATCACAGCGAAAGGGATCAACTGATGGGCTGGTCATATCCTACATGCCACTGATTCCTTGGGACAATAACCACACACGATCCGTCTATGGACTGACATTGGACTCACAAAAAAATACTCTTGGCCAGAAATGTCTTCCTCCAATGAATGCTGAGTTCATTTTATCATGGTGGCTGAAAGAGGAGACCAATGAAGTAGGCACAATGCTTTGGGACTCTGGAAGGGTAAGCCTGACGGCAGATGCCAAACCTTCAGGGTGATGAGACTTTAGAGGAAATTTTTACACCCTACCTGGGAGTAAATGATATTATTGTGAGAGAAGGGATCCTGTTTCTGGGCAGAAATCCCTATGTCCTTACTCAGATTGTACAAGTTTCTTGCTTAAGCAAGCTCGTATGGAAGTAAAACATTAAAGTGGCTACAGTTGTCACTGAAATCAGTGGGAGTCTGCCTGAGCAAAGACTGAATAAAAACAGAGCAAGGACCTCAGGTTCTGGCCCTTTATTCTGGAATTAACTGGTTTATTCTGGTAGCTCTCAAAACAAAACAAAACTAGGTGTTCATAGGATGATATAGATGGACAATACAGCTGCTCTAGAATACCATCTATATCAGGGATCAAGATGCTTTCCAGGAATGAAGGAGATGCTAAGTCTAGTCATGTGGGCAGCAAGAATGCTATACTGGTGTTTTGTGTCCCAGGGATACATATTGTTAAAGATGGTAAGTTAAGCAGAACTAGAATTCTTCTTGGGAATAAGCAGATGGAGATTTCCATTCATCTGCTTGTTTGTATCAGTAGCCAACTTCCAGAGCAGTAAATTCATAACAGATGGACATTTCAAATAGCCTAAGCATTCCTGACAAACTCTCCTTTGTGTAAAGAACTAAAACTGGTAACAAAAATATGATGCTGGGCCATCCTGGTGGCTCCCAACTGGCCTAGAATAGCAGGGTATACAGAACTAATTGGCTAACCCCAGATGCAGGGCTCTGAAATGCCCTCTTCGTCCCCAACAGGACCAGCTCTAGGCACCAGCAAAGCAAGCACATGCTTGGGGCGGCACAATGCCAGGGGCGGCGTTCCGGTCACCCTTTTTTTGTTTTGTTTTGTTTTGTTTGGGCAGTTGCGCTTGGAACTTGGGGCGGCAGATTTTTTGCTTGGGGTGGCAAAAAACCTAGAGACGGCCCTGGTCCCCAAATGCTGTCTCTGAGACATCCACCGTGAAAAGTATTATGTCTACAAGCTTGATCAGAGACTGTTAGAAAAGGCAGAAGTCATCCAAAAAGTTACCTCTTCACTTCTAAACACTTGTGAAGTCTGTGTCTCCATGTGCAAAGATAAAAAGAATCCCAGCTGCATCTTCTGCTCTGTCAGAAGTTATTTGCCAAGAAGGGCTTGATAAAGATCTGGCAGTTAGTATTGTAAGGATACAAGCCTCGATGCTCAGTTACGTGAGGGTCTGATATACCCTGTGGGTCTGATCCTGTTCTAATTGAAGTCAGTGATTTTGCCATTGACTTCAGTGGGAGCAAGAGTAAACCCCCTGAAGGGACTCACTAAATAATAACTTGAATTGAGTTCTTAAAAAGCTGCCTTTTCACCTTTAAAAGCTTTAGAACAGAGAGGTATGTTTTTCCAGTGAAGATGGGCACTTAATGCACTCAGAATGTGAATGTCATTGTATTGATTATTAATAATAATGAAACATTTATTAGACAACTAGCACATAAGGCCTGACTCACCAGTGACTGACACAGCCTTTACATTAGGACTCTTCCATGCTGGCAGAGTCAAAGCTGCACTAATGGACCCCAAGAAGTGCCCCGAGCATATGAGGAGTCCCAGGATGGCATGGAATTGGCAAAGCTGACCCTGTGCGAGGCTCCTGCTGAGACCTTGTAGTGTAGGGGCATGCCAGAACAAAGGAGCCACGGCCAGGCTACACCTCAGTTATTACTGGCTGAGGGAGTGGCCCACCAGGGCTATGGGCAGCCAAGTGCAAGTTAGGGCAGCCCCTCTGGCTGTTCCAGCCTGTGCCAGACAACTCAGCATGGTGGAGGCACACAGGTGACAAAGTTTTGCCTCATTGGGACTTCCTGGTGCCTGGCCCCAAGCTCAGGTACAGGGATGAATTTGGCTCATAGTATCTGGGTGCATTTACATGACTTAGCTTAAAGCCAAAAACATTTTCCAAGTATATGAAGCTAATACCCCACAACTCCCACTATGCAGAGATGAAGAAAACCTTGCGGGTAGCCTAAATGCACATAGAGTCACTTCTCCTTTATGAGGTGGTTTGGAAAAGCTCTCCTGGTTTTGTGCCTCTGGTGCCCTTTGAATTCCATCTCTCCCAGTTTTGTTTGCCCTTCTCCACAAAGGAGATGGGGCTGCATTGTAGAGCCATTAAATGTTACCCTAAAGGAACCAAATCATTTAGGAAATAAGATTGCTTTCAAAATTATTTTTCAGATGCATTGGAAGGGATTCAGGCCCCTCATTTCATTCTTTCCAAATAGATTGACAGTTGCATTAAATATGTTTCTCCCCTTCAAATGAAATCACATTCCACTACAACCAAAGCCCCTCATGAGATGAAAAAAAGAGATGCTTCTGGTCTTGGACTATGCAGTATCTATATCTAAATCTCTACATCCAGGATTTACTGAACATTACAAATGAAATGTTTAATCCTCCATTGATGCCTCTTTTGGCTACATACTTCCGCCTGTGGTCTTAGATGTGGATTAATAACATTTTCTTTGTATATGGCTCTCCCACATAGGCTCTAACCCTTGGAGCCCAGAACATGACCTACAGCATAAAATCCAAGTTTTCATCCCGGTCTCCCACATGTTAATGTAAAGCAGTGACCGTTAGCCTGGATTGGTGCCAGAGGAAAATCAGTTTGTTTTATGTATTTCAATGCTGTCACTGCAGAACCCTCATTTAGTTACATTCAGTGTAATTATTAAAATGGGAATTGGAGGAGCATGTGTGTAAGTGAGGGAGCACGTGTAGTGGAGGAGGGGAAAGCAATTGTGTAGAATCTTGGGCTAAGTTGTATATTATTTCAGATCAGCTGTTGACTTATCTACTTCAGAGTTCCAATAAATAACAGGACAGCAGAAGGCCTGAGAAGTTGCTAGGTGGCAATTAGGCTCCACTGCCCAGGAATCAAATGTGGACTGGAAAACCCTATTGTGTCTTGGACAGTGGCACTGAAATATAAACCAGTTATTAAATTAAATCACTTTATTAAATCACCTTCCTTCCCATGGCAAATGCCAGGGTCCTTGCAAGGGAGAATATTTTCATTCAAACATAAATATCTAAAGTAACTATAAAGAGAGATTTCAGAATAGCAGCCGTGTTAGTCTGTATCCGCAAAAAGAAAAGGAGTACTTGTGGCACCTTAGAGACGAACAAATTTATCTGAGCATAAGATTTCGTGAGTGAGCTGTAGCTCACGAAATCTTATGCTCAGATAAAACTGTTCGTCTCTAAGGTGCCACAAGTACGCCTTTTCTTTTTATAAAGAGAGAGCACAAGGAAAGACTGACTGAGCAAAGTACGTAAATTATACAATGCTCAGTTCTGTTTGTGTTTCTCCAAGCTTACTTCACTATGAAACTTCCTCCTAAACGGGCAGTTTTTAACCTCGGATTTTTGTTGACATATCACAATACACAGGTTGCAGTGTAGTGTGTACATCACAAGTTACACTATAGCAGTTAGAAAAGGAGGACTTGTGGCACCTTATAGACTAACCAATTTATTTGAGCATAAGCTTTCGTGAGCTACAGCTCACTTCATCGGATGCATACTGTGGAAACTGCAGAAGACATATACACAGAGACCATGAAACAATACCTCCTCCCACCCCACTCTCCTGCTGGTAATAGCTTATCTAAAGTGATCACTCTCCTTACAATGTGTATGATAATCAAGTTGGGCCATTTCCAGCACAAATCCAGGTTCTCACCCTCCGCCCCGCCCTCCCCCCCCCACACACACAAACTCACTCTCCTGCTGGTAATAGCCTATCCAAAGTGACCACTCTCTTTACAATGTGTATGATAATCAAGGTGGGCCATTTCCAGCACAAAACCAGGTTTTCTCACCCCCCCCCCTTTTTTCCAAAAACCACACACACAAACTCACTCTCCTGCTGGTAATAGCTTATCCAAAGTGACCACTCTCCCTACAATGTGCATGATAATCAAGGTGGGCCAGTTAATCAGTATAAATGATGCGACTGCAGCTTCTCTGACTACATCTAAACATCTAAAGTTAGAGCCTCTAATCACATGTTGTCAAGTATCAGAAGGGTAGCCATGTTAGACTGGATCTGTGAAAACGGCAAAGAGTCCTGTGGCACCTTATAGACTAACAGATGTATTGGAGCATAAGCTTTCGTGGGTGAATACCCACTTCATCGGATGCATAGAATGGAACATACGGAAAAGGTGGAAGTTGCCATACAAACTGTAAGAGGCTAATTAATTAAGATGAGCTATTATCAGCAGGAGAAAAAAACTTTTGTAGTGATAATCAAGATGGCCCATTTAGACAGTTGACAAGAAGGTGTGAGGACACTTAACATGTTGTCAGTTTTAGCCACAGAGAAAGATGTGAAGCCAAAAAAGGGCAGATAGGGCCAGTAGAAGAACTCTGCAAAGGCATAATTGGCATTTATTATTGGTTCATAATTCCAGTTGGAGCTTCAGCTGCCTTTCTTCTTGCTGTGACAGCCTCTTCACTGTAAAAACATGAGGAGTCCTTGTGGCACTCATTGTTTTTGCGGATACAGACTAAGACGGCTGCCACTCTGAAACCTCTTCACTGTGAGAGTCCATGCAGGGTCAGCTGTGGGTGAGATTCCCATTGAAGTCAATGAGAACTCTGCACATGGAGGGCTTGCAGGTATGAGGCCTTTGACCACAGACATTCAAGAGTATCAGATATGGCCAAGGAGATAATACCCGAATTCATGCTCATTTGTTTAGTGATTTGTCACTGCAAATGCTAAATTTACAACAACACTTGATTCACCACCCATTGAAGTCAACAGGTGCCCTTCCATTGACTTCAACGGGCTGTGGATCAGGCCCTGTATCAACAACATTTGTGAATAAGTGAAAGTATTGGTGGCTAACTCCTGAGAGGCTCAAAGCAGTTGAAACACAGCAGACCCCAACTGGCTCTCCACAGCCTGCAGAGATTTTCTGAGCGAGCTGCATCTCTGCAGGGGCAATGCTATATTTAAGCAGGAAAAGACAACTGGGGGTATGTCATGCCAGAGTGCATATCATGGCCTGGGTGTATTGTTCAGCCAGAGACTGAGAGCAGAAACCCCTGGGAAGTGTCAGTATGCCCCACTGGGCACTCTCTTATTGTGATTAAAGGACGCCTCTAGACACTCGAGATTAGAAACAAGAGACTAATGAAGTAACCGATATTATTATGCCAGCAAAAGGAATTAAAGAAAACACATGAACATTAAATCAAGTGGCTGGAATGAGGATATTGTGAATTAGTTTGCTGGAAAGGATGCTGGGAGGGAAAAATTTCCATAAAATCCAGTCAATTTTCTGTAATCTCCACATCTGACTTTTTTTCAAACTAGTCATAATCCTACTAAGTAGATCTGTCTCCTGTATTCTTCCTTAATAAAAGCATCACTACCCCCCACCCCAGATAATCTGTGCTGTGCCTAATTGCCTCACTTTTGCTCTATACCCTCCTAACAGTACATTTAATTCTAATGAGAAATTGTCTAGATGTGCTGTATCTGCTGCAAATCCAGGGAGACTGAAGTGTTCTCCTACTGGCTTTTGTATGTTACCATTCCTGATGTCTGTAACAAACCCTGCTGCCTACTCTGCCCCCATATGTACTCTAGCGACACCATCAGAGGACCCAACAACATCAGCCACACCATCAGGGGCTCATTCACCTGCACGTCTACTAATGTGATATGCCATCCTGTGCCAGCAATGCCCCTCTGCCATGTACATTGGCAAAACTGAACAGTCTCTACGCAAAAGAATAAATGGACACAAATCAGACATCAGGAACGTTAACATACAAAAGCCAGTAGGAGAACACTTCAATCTCCCTGGACATTCAATAACAGATTTTAAAGTAGCCATTCTTAAACAAAAAACCTTCAAAAACAGACTTCAGAGAGAAATTGCAGAGCTACAATTCATTTGCAAACTTAACACCATTAATTTGGGCTTGAATAGGGACTGGGAGTGGCTGGCTCACTACAAAAGCAATTTTCCCTCTTTGGGTATTGACAGCTCCTCATCAATTATTGGGAGAGGACCACATCCACCCTGATTGAATTGGCCTTGTCAACACTGGTTCTCCACTTGTAAGGTAACTCCCTTCTCTTCATGTGCCAATATATTTATGCCTGTATCTGTAATTTTCACTCCATGCATCTGAACTGGGTTTTTTTACCCACGAAAGCCTATGCCCAAATAAATCTGTTAGTCTTTAAGGTGCTACTGGACTCCTCGTTGTTTAAGTGAGAGAAGAATCAGTCCCACTGACTATAAACAGGAAAGCTCATGTCACTCTACAAATGTAGACTCTAATTGCACTCTACAATTTGAGTAAAATTGAGAAAGTAAACACGTAAATGGTGAAAAGTAAGCCAGATTTCAAAGATTTGTTTAGTTATAAAATCCAAAGTATTATAAGTATATATCACATTATAAGAACATGAATAGAGGAGAGTAGAAAAAAGGAACTAAAAATAAATACATGTTTTTACCTTGATAGTATCCCTTTAAATCATTCAGTTGGGTACAATTCATAACATCCCATTCACACATCCTGTATTTTGACTGCCAGTTGTGTGTGTTCATGGAGGGTTATTGATATTACTCATGACATGATTCAATAAATGAGAACTGGGGTGTTAATCAAAGCCAGAATCTAAAAACCCCTTAACTTTGTAGATGTTTGAATGGTTGACTCTAAAAAAGATTTGGGGTCATGGTGAATAATCAGCGGAACATGAGTTCCCAGTGCAATGCTGTGTCCAAAAGGGTTAATTCAATTCTTGGATGTGTAAACAGAGGAAATCTCAAATTGGATTAGAGAGGTTATTTTACCTCTATACTGTGGTGCAGCCACTGCCAGAATACTGTGCCCAGTTCTGGTGTCCACAATCCAAGAAGGATGCTGATAAATTGGAGTTCAGAGAAGAGCCATGAGAACGATGAAAACAGTCAGACTCAAGGAGCTCCATCTATTTGGTTTAACAAAGAGACAGTTAAAGGGAGGCTTGATCACAGTCTATAAGTACCTACATGGGGAACAAATATTTGATAATGGGCTCTCAGTCTAGCAGAGAAAGGTATAACACAATCCAATGGCTGGAAGTTGAAGCTAGACAAATTCAGAATGGAAATAAGGCATAAGTTTTTACAGTGATAGTAATTAACCACTGGAACAAATTACCATGGGTTGTGGTGGATTCTCCATCACTGACAATTTTAAAATCAAGATTGGATGTTTTTCTAAAAGCTTTGCTGTAGGAATTATTTTGAGGGAAGTTATCTGGTCTGTGCTATACAGGAGGTCAGACTAGATGATCACAATGGTCCCTTCTGGCCTTGAAATCTATGAATCTGGATCCTGATCTGCACTACCTGGCTGGTCACTACTGTAAAAAACCCATGTGCTGTAGACAACTGGCAAAATTATTAATCGCACGCACAGTGCTGGGCCTAGACCCCTGTTCCTTCTGCTTCAAACACACAGGCTTCTTGCCCTTTAACTAAAGAAGAATGTCTTTACTTTCCAATTGTAATAGCTGTAGTCAGCTGACTCTTAACCTGGGTTCAGTTGTAGTCTCTTTGAATCTGTTACCCCTGGGGCCCCTACATACACCCACTGCTGGGCAATCTGACTGTTTCCAGCAGGAGTTCAGCTCACTCTCAGGGTCCTTTCTGACTCTTGAGTCTAGTTATGTTCACTTGCCTCTTGTCCCTGGCAGCACTCCCCAGGTCACACCACAGTTCACTGGATGCAAAGACCCCTCCAGCATCCTTTATCCATATCAGGCTCATGGTGCCAGTCTGCCCCAAACAAGGAGGGGGAGAAGGATGGGCTAGCAACTGCCTCAGACTGAGTGCCCCTTGCTAGCAGAGCTCGCTAGCAGTCCCTGGCAGCCTCTCTGCTCCTAGGAAGGAAACAAACCCAACCCTCTAGTTTGTGTGGCCAGTCTTACCTTTTTAAACTCCACTGCTCCAGGCGGAGCACGTTCTGCAGGTGCACCTAACTGGCACTGCTGGAGTGCAGGAATGCTCGTTAACTTATCAGTACGATGCCCATGTCATCTCAAGCTCATGACAAGAGTTAAAATGTCAACACTGTCAACTATTTCACTATTTGATCAAATCATTCAAGAAAGGAGAGGGACAATTATGAAGATCACAGAGTCTCAGGTGACAAGGACATGGTTTGTGCATGGGCTTAGGGGAGTATCACTACTCCAGTTCCCCCATTTTAACCCTTGGATTTTATGGAGGCAAATATCTTAGTAAGAGTAAAAAGAGAATACAAATAGCAACACCTGACTATAATTCACTATAAAATAAAAATGATAAAGGCTGTCAATCAATACTCAAGTTTTGGAGAAATGAAGACAAGAAGAAATGTTCCTCATTGGATAGTTGTACACAATAAGCCAAGTGGATTTATGTGAACTTTACATTTTCCTCTGAAGTTCCCAGTATTTGCCACTTTCAGAGCTTAGAGGCTGGACTGGACTGGATGGACCATTGATCTATTCTGTTATGCCAATTCCTAAATTCACCACCAGCCCCTCTGTGTTTATCATCATAGTGAGAGGCTGGTACAAGGAGGGGGATGCTTCTAAATTTTGTGTCACTATATGTGTATGTTGCACTTGCTCTGTTGTTTCCAGGGGAAGCGGATTGTCAGTGAGAAACGGAGTTCAGATGGCCTCCTGAGCCAAGGTGGGGACCCAGACCTGAGTGAGGAAGAGGTGGACCACCTGGTAGCTTTCCGTAGAGGGAGACGGATGCAGATCGCCATCACCATGGACAACAAGGAAAAAGTGAGTGCATTCCAAGAGTCTGTGTCATAAGGACCGGTACTCCACCAATTGCTATTGGGCTGGAGGAGCAGAGGGGGAAAGGTTCTGGCAGCCGGTCAGTTGGAGATAGTGTTTTTTAGTAGGTTTCAAAGTAGCAGCCATGTTAGTCTGTATTCACAAAAAGAAAAGGAGTACTTGTGGCATCTTAGAGACTAACCAATTTATTTGAGCATAAGCTTTCGTGAGCTACAGCTCACTTCATCGGATGCATAAAAGTGGAAAATGCAGTGAGGATGTTTTTATACACACAGATCATGAAAAAATGGGTGTTTATCACTTCAAAAGGTTTTCTCTCCCCCCACCCCACTCTCCTGCTGGTAATAGCTTATCTAAAGTGATCGCTCTTCTTACAATGTGTATGATAATCAAGGTGGGCCATTTCCAGCACAAATCCAGGGTTTAACAAGAACGTCTGAGGAACGGGGCGGGGGGAGGGGGGGAGATAGGTTACCTTGCATAATGACTTAGCCACTCCCAGTCTCTATTCAAGCCTAAATTAATTGTATCCAATTTGCAAATGAATTCCAATTCAGCAGTCTCTCGCTGGAGTCTGGATTTGAAGTTTTTCTGTTGTAATATTGCAACTTTCATGTCTGTAATCGCGTGACCAGAGAGATTGAAGTGTTCTCCGACTGGTTTATGAACGTTATAATTCTTGACATCTGATTTGTGTCCATTTATTCTTTTACGTAGAGACTGTCCAGTTTAACCAATGTACATGGCGGAGGGGCATTGCTTGCACATGATGGCATATATCACATTGGTAGATGTGCAGGTGAACGAGCCTCTGATAGTGTGGCTGATGTTATTAGGCCCTGTGATGGTGTCCCCTGAATAGATATGTGGGCACAGTTGGCAACGGGCTTTGTTGCAAGGATAGGTTCCTGGGTTAGTGGTTCTGTTGTTTGGTATGTAGTTGCTGGTGAGTATTTGCTTCAGGTTGGGGGGCTGTCTGTAAGCAAGGGCTGGCCTGTCTCCCAAGATTTGTGAGAATGATGGGTCGTCCTTCAGGATAGGTTATAGATCCTTGATAATGCGTTGGAGAGGTTTTAGTTGGGGGCTGAAGGTGACGGCTAGTGGCGTTCTGTTATTTTCTTTGTTAGGCCTGTCCTGTAGTAGGTGACTCCTGGGTACTCTTCTGGCTCTGTCAATCTGTTTCTTCACTTCAGCAGGTGGGTATTGTAGTTGTAAGAATGCTTGATAGAGATCTTGTAGGTGTTTGTCTCTGTCTGAGGGGTTGGAGCAAATGCGGTTGTATCGCAGAGCTTGGCTGTAGACAATGGACCGTGTGATGTAGTCTGGGTGAAAGCTGGAGGCATGTAGGTAGGAATAGCGGTCAGTAGATTTCCGGTATAGGGTGGTGTTTATGTGACCATCACTTATTAGCACTGTAGTGTCCAGGAAGTGGATCTCTTGTGTGGACTGGTCCAGGCTGAGGTTGATGGTGGGATGGAAATTGTTGAAATCATGGTGGAATTCCTCAAGGGCTTCTTTTCCATGGGTCCAGATGATGAAGATGTCATCAATATAGCGCAAGCAGAGTAGGGCTATTAGGGGACGAGAGCTGGGGAAGCGTTCTAAGTCAGCCATAAAAATGTTGGTATACTGTGGGGCCATGTGGGTACCCATAGCAGTGCCGCTGATTTGAAGGTATACATTGTCTCCAAATGTGAAATAGTTATGGGTGAGGACAAAGTCACAAAGTTCAGCCACCAGGTTTGCCGTGACATTATCGGGGATAGTGTTCCTGACAGCTTGTAGTCCATCTTTGTGTGGAATGTTGGTGTAGAGGGCTTCTCCATCCATAGTGGCCAGGATGGTATCTTCAGGAAGATCACCAATGGATTGTAGTTTCCTTAGGAAGTCAGTGGTGTTTTTTAGTAGCATGGGAGTTACCAGGGCTAAAGATGTGTGGCTATCCTAGCTCACAAGGAGACAAGGCCATAGGCCTTGATCCACGTTCCCTTATCTGTGATCCTAGCTCTAGCTATCTCCAGACTGGTTCAGTTCTGACTTCAGCAGATTCTTCAACATGCTCCCCAAAGGAATCTCATATGATGCTTCTTTGAGGGGAACAAGGGAAAGGGAAGGCATTGCCATGTACTTGCCTTGCATTTAAGGAGGAAAGAATGCAAAAGTTACCATCATTTAGGCCTCATGGACACCTAAAGCCAGCTTTCCACCCAGGGCCAAGGAGCAGAATATAGTCAAAGAGCCCTATCCCAGACAAACAGTCAGTACAACTTAAAAGTTAATTGGGGTAGGCAATATCCATGTCCAAAACAAACTGATGTCACCCATGGGGCAGCCCATTTGACAATTTTGTTGAACTTTTTAGATTTTGGAAACACGGACCAAATATTCTATTGCAAACTCCTTCCTCGCAAAAATGATGTATTTCAATACAAGAGAATCCACAGCCAAGCAAGAGTGTGCCTCTGACACCCTGTGCTCAGGATCATGAAAGATAACAAGAGAAAACATAAAGCTATATACACAAAACAAGGTTGTACATAAAGATCAAAGGACTAATGCAATTTCCCTCAGTGGGACTGCAGCCAAAGTGTGCTGCTAATTGCCTCAGTTATTTTCCTGCTTTTTCTCCTCCCCACTGAGAGTTTGACTAGAGATACAGGACCCTACTATCTGTTTCTCTCTGGTTGCTTTACACTGAGCGTCATAAAGAAGCAGATAAGTCAGCAGATTGAGCTACCATTGAATACTCAGCAGCGCAGGGGGTTTCCATGGTAGCACAGACCTAGTGTAATAGTTCTACAACACAGCCACTGCCGAAGGGGAATTGTCAGGGCATGTTTGGGGGATAGGGGATGTAGTCTGTGCACCGGTGTGCTGTGGCTATTCTTGCCTGCTCAAACAGCCCTTGGAGTCATTGAAAACCCAATGTATATATTAGGGCAGCCTTGAGGTTGCTCTGTCTTGTGGCATGGGATTGATAAAAGCTATCTTTCCTCTCCCCCCATTCCTGCCCGAATCGTATCTCCTGCAGATCTAATAATCAGAGCCCTAAAGTGTGAGAAAAGGGAACTGCATTCACAACACCCTATCTCCTCCCCATTCAGTGCCCTACGTGCAAGCTATACTTTGCCATAGTTAAAGCTAAACAGAGGACACTTAGAAAATTAATAGGAAATGTTTTGGGGCATGCTCATTAGGGATCATTGCTGCTTTGTAAAGGGAGCTTGCCTATCAAATTCGCCTCCTCCAAAATGTAAATATATGCTGCAACTCAGTTTTCAGGAAGACTCAGTAGGAAGTCCATAACAGTCCAAAAGGCTTGGCTTTCCCTCCCCTCAAATAACTTTCTGATCACACTGTTCTACCACACTTTAAAGACAATGTTCCCAATTAACTTAGCTAACTGGGTATCCCAGGGAGAGGAGCCAACATTTCCCTGTCACTGCCTCCTATTACGCATTTGCAAATGGCCACAGTGTACTCATTGGACTTTGTCAAAATTTAATCCAGATAACCCCCAATTAATGCTTTTCTGCAAACCCTCAGGCTGTGCTGTCCTCCTCCGATACCAATGTTCATGTTTGGATTTTGAAATTGAAGCAAGTGGTCTGGGTAGGGAAGGAGAGAGAACTTTCATTCCTGCATTCTGGAGGACACGTGCGCGCGAAGGAGTGGCCATGAGAAATGACAAAGTGGGTGCCATTATCCACTCTGAGAAGAATTCCACAAAGTCATTTGGTCGCATTCACAGCTTCGCTGTGCAGCAGCAAAGTGTCAAATGCATAGGATGGGTGCAGAAAAACCAAACTGGAGCTTAAAATAAAAGAGTCTAAATACTGCACCCTAGTGTACAGAAGCAAGAAGTAGATCACTAAGCAGCGTTTAAGGGTCCGAAGGCAATGAAAAGAAAGAATTAAGACTGTTGTATGATTTCACCGTCTCCTTATTGGTGGGTTAGGGCAGCCAGGCTGAGTCCTGGACTAATGACACTGGTATGAGCTCACTTTAACAACAGAGCCACCTCTATTTATTATTGGCAGAGAGTACAGAGGCAGCTACTTCCTGAGACAGACATCCTGCCCCTGTACAAAGAGCCATGCTCTTTAGGAGATGTCCATGGATGTGCTAAAAAACACCTCAGCCAGCAAGCAAACAAGGAGCTACCATTCTGACCCTCAGAGAAGGCAGAGTGAAACTGAGAAAACGAAGGTCCTAACAGAAACCACTGGACACTAGATTCTCAACCCCCTTGTGCTCATTTTAGTTAAGTAGGTTTTTTAAAATGTTTTTTGTAGATTGACTAGTTTTTTAAATCAGCCATAATCTAAAAAAGGTGATTGAGCTGATCTCTGAAACCCTAATTTCCAATACTTATTCGTTATACCTCAATCTTCTACATTCCAATCAGCCTCATGAGATTCGCCCACCTATTGGGAAATACGACGCTGTCTCCCCTACCTTGTTAATTATTGTTATTTGATTTGTAACATGGTAGCACCTGGAGGCCAAGCCCCAATGTGCTGGGTGCTATCCTGACATATCACAAAGAGATGGTTCCTGTCGCAGAGAGCTTAGAATCTAAGGCTATGTGTGTACTGCAGCATGGTGTGTAGACTATGGGCGTGTGACTTGCAGCACGCACCAAAGTGTTGTGCTGCAACTGCCCTGTATGGATGCCGCTAGTATGAACTAAAAGGTACCTAGTTTGCATTAATGTAGTCCTCTTCAAACAAGACTGTGTTAACATGAACTAAGTACCTATTAGTTCACACCAGCAGCATCCCCACGGGGCAGTTACAGCAAGGTTGCTACTCTGAAACCTTTTAGGTGCAGCAATTCTAACTCCTGTAGTAGTCCAAATTGCAGGGCCATGTAGACAAGCCCTAAGTATGGGATGAGAGACAACGGATTGGTATGACAAATGGACAGAGGGCGTGTCTACATTGCAATTAAAAACCCACAGCTGGCCCGTGCCAGTTGACTCGGGCTGCAGGGCTGTTTAATTGCAGTGTAGAGTTCTGGGACTCTATCACTTCGCAGGGTCCTAGAGCCCAGGCTCGAGTCCAAGCCCAGAAGTCTACACTACAGTTAAACAGCCCCACAGACAACAAGTCAGCTGGCACAGGCCAGCTATGGGTGTCTAATTGCAGTGTAGACATACCCAGAGGGAACACAAGGTACTACTGAGACAACTGCATGATAAGCAGTACTCAGCCACAAGCAGCCTACAACCAGTGAGTCACAGGACTTGGATACAGCATGATTAAAAAGAAAAGGAGTACTTGTGGCACCTTAGAGACTCACAAAAGCTCATGCTCAAATAAATTTGTTAGTCTCTAAGGTGCCACAAGTATTCCTTTTCTTTTTGCGAATACAGACTAACATGGCTGCTACTCTGAAACCTGTCAGCATGATTAAAGCATATAGTGTCGATGGGACCTCACCAAGCCCAATCTGTGGGATATGCGTAGGTTCCTCACTATGCTACAGATTTTAAACATGTGGTAACTAGAATAAGTTAGAGATGCAGTGCAGGTGGAGCCTAAAACAACAGCTGCCCCTTGTCCGCCTTCAGTTCAGCTTGCACCCGTTGCACCTAGAAACATTTTCTGAAATGGCTGTGTCCAGCCTACACTGCCACTTCAGTCATTTCCGTTACAGATTTGGGAGGGAGCATTGTCAGCAATTCATCCATTTACTGGTGCTGGCAGGACTCCGAAAAGCCGAAGACAGATACATCTGTCTCTCCCACTCTGCCGCCGATTAATCTCCCTCCTGAGAGCTGGTGGGCATCCCGCTAACTAATAGTAAGAACATAGGAATAGATTCATTCATATGTTTTGGTTTGACAATCTCAGAGCAGTTCAGAGCGGTGAATAAATACATTAACCCATTTTACAGATGGGGAAACTGAAGCACAGAAAGGTTCAGTGACTTGTCCAAAGCCACAGAGGAAGAAAATCAGGGTCCGATGACTAGGGTCCTAGTCTGGGACTCAGGAGATTTGCCTTCAATTCCCTGCTGCCCCACAGACTTCCTGGGTGATCCCAGGCAAGTTATTTTCTCTCCCTGCCTAGTCTCTGTCAGTAAGTTGGGGATAATAGCACTTCCCTTCCTCACAGGAGCATTGTGATGATAAATACATCACAGACTGTGAGGTGCTCAGATCCTATACTAATGGGGATGGTTTAACTACCTCAGAGAGAGAGAGAAGGGAAGAGAATCCTGATTGGCAGTCCCTGTTTCTAGCCTTTAGAAACACTGTTTCCTCCTGTACCACACAGCTCAGGCGGGAGGCACAGGGCTGGCTCTGTGCTTGAAGGGGCAGCTGCATTATTTGTGTTCTCCAGTGGAGATTAAATGTACCTTTGAGCTGAGCTCTAGCAGACTGAGATTGACAGAGTCTTGGCTACATTCTGCTGATGCAGGGGGGCAATTAATTCAAGCACAGCACAATTCAATCCGCCTTTTCAGGAGGAACTGATTCAGCAGCTGCTCTTGCACTCTGCCCTCTTCTCAGCATGGTATCTGCAGGAAGAAAGCTTGTCTCTGTGCTGTCAACACTATGGTGCATGCCATGAGTGGGGGCATGGGAGGGTTCTACATGGTAAGATGGGCAGGTCTGTTCCTTTTTGCCTGCACAGCTCGAAGTGTAGAATGGTTGACAGGACAGCAGGGAGCACAAAGAGACAATGAAATGGAGATTGTAAATCACGCTGGGAGAGTTGGTAAGCACTGCTGGCAGAGTCGCTTGGCTCTCACGGGCAGTGCCTGCCTTTGAGTTTCCATAACATCATGCCATTTGTCCTCGAGCACAGGAGCCGCTCCGCCTCACAGCATGAAATAGATATTGGGATTGCTGAAGCTTTTTAAACAATGCTTTTTGCTGTAAAGAGCCTTTTGTTTTTGTTTGAGTGTGACAGAGCTCCCAACTTTCCCTATTCCTCACACAAGGGAGAATTGTTCACATTAAAAGAGGGGGACGGCCAGAGCTAGAGGGTGGTAAAGAAGGAGGGGCCCCTTTCTATTTAGGGCCTAATCCCGCTCCTACTGACGTCAATGCAAGGTTTGCACTGAGATGATATCTGGGAGCTTCTGGCATTCCTAAGCTCACTTTGGGCAGCATTTCTGTCCCTGGATAGTATTGCCCTAGCAAAAGTGGGAAAGAAATATGTTAAACTGAATTACTGAGAGGATTCTTTGATATGAAATGCTCTATAAAATGCACAGCATAGCATAATTGATTGGGGTGCATTTAAGGGGCCTTGTCTTGAAGAAACCAGTTTTGGCCATTGCTGGTGGTCAGATACCAGATCAGATGGAGTCAGTGGTCTGATCTTATTCCCATCCAGGGAGTGGTTGCTTTTTCACATTGACTTCAAATAAACCACGATTTGAGGACTTCAATAGCTCAGACATAAGTGAGAGGTTTTTCGCAGGAGTGGGTAGGTGAGATTCTGTGGCCTGTGTTGTGCGGTGGGGGTTGGACTAGATGATCATAATGGTCCCTTCTGACCTTAATATCTATGAATCTATAAAAGACTTCTTAGCCCAAAGCCGCACAATTTCTGATGCGGCAGGTGTACTCGATCTGTCACACATTAACAGAGAGATTGTTTTACAGACACCTCTTGTCCCATCTAGACAACCTTCCGCCCCATGGTGAGGCGCACCTTCTCTTCCACTCACAATCACGTGGACCCCCTCTCCTGTTCCATTTACGTCCCCTGGACCCATCTTCCCACAACTGGCAATAAGGCAGAACTACCTGCCTGCTTACTGGCAATCACACGCACCCACCTCCATGCCAGACTTGCCAGTTTGAATCCCACTCATGAATGCACGTCATCCCTGTGGCTCTTGCTGCAGTGGCGATCTCATTGAACTCTGTACCACCAGTGCATGTAGGTATTTGTAACTGTCTGCCGTGCATTCCCTACATTTCTAAGAGCCTATGATTATGTGATTTGTGCTTTTTGAAAAATATCATACATGCCATCACCCCCTCCCACCTATTATATTCCTGTCTTTCCTCTTCTTCCCTTGTACATACTTCCCTTCTGCCTGGTCTTCCTATTCCCCTGCACCAGCTGCCACAGCTCTGGTCCCTTGCTTCTATGTTCTTGCCCATGTTGGCCTGCCATGTGGTCTCCCTGCTCCCTGGCACATCCTGCAGGACAGTCTTGTCCTTGGTTCCCTTCTCTTCTGTTCCACTGGCAGCTTCTGGGGGGAGGTTGGTACCACCACACCCGTTGCTGGCTCTAGTCTTTGAGGAGTAGACTGTTTCCTTTGCCCCTTTTTCTCCTATGCAGAAGCAATCAGCAGTGGAGGCAACTAAGTTGGCTCTTCCATTTCATTTCCAGATGCTTCTGCAGATGCTCAGTCTCTTCACAGGAAGCTTCCTACCACTAAGAAAAGGAGTACTTGTGGCACCTTAGAGACTAACAAATTTATTAGAGCATAAGCTTTCGTGAGCTACAGCTCACTTCATCGGATGCATTCTGATGAAGTGAGCTGTAGCTCACGAAAGCTTATGCTCAAATAAATTTGTTAGTCTCTAAGGTGCCACAAGTCCTCCTTTTCTTTTTGCGAATACAGACTAACACGGCGGCTACTCTGAAACCTTCCTACCACTGTGTCTCAACCTGAGGATGGACCACCCCAAGTGACAAGAGGGTAATTCTCTATTCCCATTCAGTCCAGGGCTTTTTACTGAGATTACTAGCAAGGATGCTAATCCACACCAATTGTGATGGTGGTTTTTGTGGTATGAATGCCTGTCCACAAGGAACTGAACTGAGTCTCAGTCTCAATATACAGGCAGCTGAACAGATGGTGATTACTGCCAGCAGTTACCAGCCTCATCTAGATTGAGAATGATGACCTATAAGCAAAAGGCCCTTCCCCTCTCTTCCATATCCCCTTGTCCTGAGCCATTCAGTCTGTCCAGGCTAACAATGCCCACATTCACTCAGCCCCAGCTACACATGCTCTCCTCCTTCACTCTCTTGCACGCTCACAGATCAATCCATTCCTTGCTGACTCTTTAACACCCAGAGTCTCCCTCCCTCAGACAGATGCAGCACTGTGTGGAGTGGCTTGGATTGTCTAGAATGCCATCTAGAATGCCCTGTGGATGGCTCAACAGCTCTGACACCCAGTCTTGGGCTATCCAGACACTTGGTCCTTTTCCTCTCTCTGGTGGCTGTGGTGTGGAAGTTGCTTTCAGATCTCCAGGCTCTCTTTTAGAAATGAGTTTGCATGAAGCCTGTTGACATTTTGCTGGATTGAGCAAGTGACTAGAAGCTTACCCAACCTACCACAGGGGTGTATCCTATATTTTAAAAATCAATATGGGTAAAGTGCTTACCTTGTCTCTCCTCCCAGAGAGCCGTGGGGTTGTCAACCAACAACCCCTCTGGGCCACATATAGCACAGCAGAAATCTTCATCTCTTGTAAGCTTTCCCTTAAACAAAGACCAAACAGCACCTTTCAAGCAGAATCATGTTGTCTTTTAGAATTGTACTTTTGTGGTTTGCTAAAGTCAAGTCTCCATGAGAGAGCACGGTGTGATCATGTCTCCTCCCTAGTAGGCTGCACCAGCTCTGCCACTCAAAATGTCTGCCTGGCTCTGCAGACAGTAGAGTTCTTAGAGATTTAAAGGTGCAGCACACATTAAGCAAAGGCAGAACACTTACAGAGCAAACTAGACCACAGGCTCCAACTCAGAAGCGATGGCATAACATTGAGAAGCCACATTCATAAACCTTTCACTCCCACTCACTGTTGCCATGACAGACCACAGGCTCTCCATCTTGGACTCCCCATGCTGCTGCTCTCACTGACAGGTTGACATCCCCACAAAACTCCTTGCCGATTGATTTGCAGCCAGGGAACCCACTAAAAGCCAATTGGACACTAATATGCTCTTCCCTCATGGGTGATGAGTGAGGTGGTGCTCTGCCTGTCAGCCTGAGAATGGGGCAGCAGCATGGGAATGTTGCCAGCACCCAGTGCCGAGAGGCTGAACAACAGCTTGAGTGGTTCGTTACCCGGTGTGCTACACCCAATAATCACAACGGGGTGGAGAAGCAGAAAAGTTTATTTGCAGCTGCAAAAAGGTACAGGGAGAATAAAATCTCAAATCCTGCACAACAGAGCAGGAAGTTACACAGGCTTTTATACATCCTTTTTCTCAGCATACTTATCCAATAGCAAGCTGCCCCAAGTATCCATATAGCCAGCCAATCCAGTTCCCAGGTAGTTCCCTGATTCTCTGTATCATTTGTTAAACTATACATAAAGCTGCTTTATTCAGCATTGTTCTTCCATATCTCCCCTGTTTGGCCTTGCTTAGTTTCAGGCAGTCTGACTCTGCAACATACTGTTGCAGATTCTCAGCATAACTGCTTGGGCCTAGTACGCAGAGCTGCTGCGAGTGCCTCCAGGCAGGAGGGGGGCCAAGGACACCTGGGCCTAGTGCGAGTGGGCTTTATCGACACTCGTGGTCTTCCATCCCCTCGAGTTACCTAGTGGCCATGCCCCAGTGTCCCCAACAACTCCCCCCTTTGAGAACACTCAACAGCCTTGGCTCTGAGTTTTCTCACTTGGGCTACTTATTTTTTACAATATGACTTTGCATAAGCACTTTGTGATAGCCTGAAGAGAAGGACTTATTAACTTTTGCAAAAGGGCCCTGACACATGATACTGCACAGCATAATACCAGTAATACAAGCAATACAGGAAAGAGAATTTTCAATAGCAGGCTAAATAAACCACCAAGCCAAGACGACAAACCCCAGCCTGAAAACAAGGTTTGCAACCAATCGTTCTCTGGGGCAGTATAGGCAACCTGTGCTCCGGCTCGGGCATGGGCTTCAGCCTGTACCACCTTTTTATAGATTTCATAACTGCTATCATTTACATATACACAACATCGGGGCCCGACGAGGGCACAAACCCCTGCTTGGGATGCCAAGAGATAGTCCAAAGCCAGCCTGTTTTGGAGGGAAAATGTCCTGAGCTGCTGTACCTTTTTATTTAAAGTTTTTACTGCTGACCCTAAATTACTAACCGAGTCCTCTAACTCTAAGGCCACTTTCTCAAATACCATCTGCAGCCTTACAGTATAGCGGCCTATGCATGCCATGGCTGGCCCGGAAACCAGTGGCGCTATTCCCAGTACAGAGCACCCTACAAGCTTCTCGGTTGTGAGGGCATTCTTCATATTGCCCTCCAATGCCTTAGTCAGTCGCCACAGGGTCTTTTCTCGTGACTCAACAGAGGTGTCTCGGGCATTTTTAATCTTTCCTTTGGGCAGTGTGGCAGTTATGGAAAGATGAGGAACTCCATGAGCTATATAACAGCTACCTGTCCAGTTGGCTGGCAGCACCTTGTAAGCCTTTTGGCCACATACAAAATAGTGACCCTGTAGGGCCCAGTAAGGACTGTTTTTTAAGGGGATTCCTGGGATATTTAAGGCTGCTTTGGCTGCTTTTTTAAACAATTTATATGCCCCTAAGGGGGCATCTTATTTTTTTGATTGGGTACAAATGGGGGCATTTTTAATTGTGCCATTCAAATTACACTTGCCATAGGGACCACTACAAACCCACCATTGGCTTGCTACATTGGAGATGTTAACTTGACGGCAAGTTACATTTCCAAACCCCTTTTTTGTGGTAAGATTATTTGTAAGTGTTTCCCTAAAAGGGGAGGAACCATTACACCCACACTGTTGGCCTCCCCTGTTGGTCTTTATCCAATACCCATCAGCCCACTGTGTAATAACACAGGAGCTCTTTCCCACAGGATGCCCATAGGGATCAGATTGGTTTCAGGTAAAACATAACACTTCCTCAGTGAGTACTGCAACTGAATACTCCTGGTCCTGGCAAGTGGCTTGCTGTAAAGAGGTCTTGTTCCAGAACGGTGAGTCCGTTCTTTCCTGCTCTTTGGTGGTGGCTAATTCTGCTAGGGTCAAGGGCAGCATGTCAAGGGGCATTCCCGTTTTGGGGGATAGTGGAATTGGAGCACATACCCAGCAATCAGTCTGGTTTGTTAAATTAGCAACATGGTGCACAAGCAAAACAAAGGAGTTATGCTCCCGATATGCACAGTTTGGAAATACCAATACAGAGAATAACAATGTTACCCAATTAATTATCACCAGAGTCTTCCCAACCCAGGGTCTCCAGTACCTGGGTGGGCCCATTTTAGCATTAAGGTGCCCGCTATTTGTGTCTTTTAAACAGTAGCTTTAGCCCGAGATCTCACTAGATGAGGAGTCAGCAGGTTGGACGGTCCACTGTCCTGCTGACGAGGGGGCGGTTACTGCCTTCAGACGAGACTGATGGATCCAGTTCTTGTGTCCCTCGATCTTTGCCGCTGTATGGGAGATCAGCAGGACGGTATAGGGTCCTTTCCACTTTTCCTGGAGAGGCTCGTCTTTCCAGGTGCGAACAAGCACAGAGTCACCAGGCTGTAAGGAGTGAACGGGAGAGTCCAAGGGGAGAGGCTGGGAATCCTTGGTATACCTGTGAAGAGACAAGAGAACAGCAGACAGGGAACACATATACTGAGACAAAAAGCCATTACCCAACTCCCATTCCCCTGACAGAACCGGGGTGCCATTCATAGGCCATGCCCTTCCAAACATAATTTCAAAGGGACTGAGCCCTAATCTACCCTTTGGGAGAACGCGGATACGGAGTAGGATGAGGGGCAAAGCATCAGGCCATCGCAGTGAGGCTTCTTGGCACACTTTTGAGAGATGCCGTTTAAGGGTTTGATTGGTACGCTCCACTACACCACTGGCTTGCGGTCTCCAGGGTGTATGGAGTTTCCAGGGGATCTGTAAGGCATGTGAGATGCTTTGAATGATTTTTGACGTGAAATGTGTCCCATTGTCAGATTCCATCCACAGGGGGAGTCCAAAGCGAGGAATGATCTCTTTAACAAACTTGAGGGCCACTGTTCTGGCAGTGCAGTTACGGCATGGGAAGGCTTCTGGCCATCCGCTGAACCGATCCACTATAACAAGGAGATATTTGAACCCTTGGGTCCGGGGAAACTCAGTAAAGTCTATTTGCCGCACTTGTCCAGGGCCTGGAGTGGGTTCTAGGGCAGCTGGTGGCACAGGATGTCCCGGTCGGGGGTTATTCTTTTGGCAGACTAAGCAGTCCGCTTGTACCTGGGCAGCCAGGGGTCGGAGTCCGGAAGTGATAAAGTATTTTCCCATTAGCTGGATAAGTGCTTCCCTGCCAGCATGAGTGGTTTGATGTAGTTTCTGCAGCACTGGCCGGATTAGGCCCTTTGGTAAGAGGACCTTCCCTTCTGGGGATGGAGCCATCCCTCCTTTCACAACAGCATAACCCGCCCTCCTTTGCCCATCTATTACAGTACTGCTACCATCAGTGTACCACTCATAATCTGCATTTGGGAGGGGTACATCCTTTAAATCCGGACGGCTGGAGTACTGGGCATCTATGATCTCTAAACAGTCATGTTTCTGTTCCTCTGTTTCTGGCAAGAGGGTGGCTGGGTTAAGGGAGGGGCAAGGCTGTAAGGTGACTTCAGAGTTCTCTAACAGCTTAGCCTGGTACCGAGCAATCCGAGCCTGGGTGAGCCAAAGCCCTCCCTTTGTATCCAATAAGGCTCGGACCGTATGGGGAGTATAGATTTGCATAACCCCTCCCAATGTTAGCTTCTCGGCTTCCTCAAGCAATAGGGCAGTAGCTGTGACCGCCCGTAAACATGCCGGCCAACCCTTTGCAACCTGATCCAATTGCTTAGAAAAATAAGCCAGGGGACGTCTCCATGCTCCTAACAGCTGTGTGAGCACTCCTAGGACCACCCCCCTTCGTTCATGTACATACAACTGAAACGGTTTAGAGAGATCTGGCAGGTCCAGAGCTGGGGCTTCCATCAATTTTCTTTTCAGGATTTTAAATGCCCTATCAGCCTCTGGGGTCCAATAGAAGGGGTAGATCCACTCCTTTTACACAGTCGTACAGGGATTTAGCCCACAGTCCAAACTCTGGGATCCATATCCTGCAAAAGCCTGCCATACCCAGAAATGCCCTGAGCCGCTTATGGTTACTTGGGGTAGGAACTTGACAGATAGCTTCCTTTCTTTCGCTTGAAAGCTGATGCTCCCCTTTCCTTAGCTGTAACCTGATCCCTCTCCACCTCAGGCAACAGGGTTCTCAGGAGGATATTACAGTCATCTCAATTGGCTTGTGACTACTGAGGCACCCCTCAAAGACTGAAATAAACCTGCTTGCGTTCGTTGAGAATTCCCCAGCCTGTGTTTTAAAAGCTGCTAAGTCTATTGGATTGAATGGCACATGGGTGTAAACTTGCATAGTGGTAGCCTGACGTCCGTCTGCCCCTGGGCAAGCCACAACCGTCTCGGTAAGCAAAGGATAGAGTACCACCGAGGGGGCAATCTCTGTAATCCGAGGCATCCTACCCTTATACGGTGGGGGTGTGGGGGCCGAAGGGGACACCGGCTCTGCCATTACAGTGGGGGTGGGGATCTGGGGACTAACATTAGCTGCTACCGAACCAGTCGGAGTCAGATTACAGTGCTGTAAAA